TTTGTTTGTTTTTTTTCCTCTTCAGGGTGCCCAGAAGATTTCAGATTCTAAAACTGCGTAATGTGGTGTGTTTATAACTAAAAGTATTGTGCCTTTTCAAATGTGGGAGGAAGGGAAGAGGAAACGAACAAGAATAAAAACTTTTGACGGGGTCTCTGAGGGTTTTTAGAATTAAGTAAAACATTTTTACGTTGGAAAAGATTGTCAGTAAGGATGATGACACAATTTTACTGATCTTATTTAAGGGCTTAGAGTCTGTGCAATCAAAAGCCCTGTACTTTCAAAAACAGATTTGCAGTGATTTGAGTATTATTATCTAAATATTTGGAATTTAAATGCAATATGAATAAAAGCTACAAAATGTTATGATCTTAGTTCTTTTGTGCTGATTAACATTTAAAAATTCATCCTAGGAAATTTGGAGCTTGAAAGGAAAATGATCAAAGTGTTGTTCTAAATGCTGTGCAAGTGGTCATGGAGGCAATGGCAGTTTTTGATAGTGCTGTCGCTGACCTCCCTGCAGTCATTGCTTTGAGTTGCTACTTTTAAACTATTACTGGTTGGCAGTCATCCTAATCTAACAAAGTACTGTTCATTAGTTTTTCTGATTCTTTTACGAAAATATGAGTTGCTGATCAGCTGTGAATTATTTTGTGGAATTGTTGGTTTATGTAGGATTCTTATTTGCAGAGGCCTATTTGGATAAGGCTACATGATGCTGACCTAGAACCATTTTAGTAAGTGAATAATAGTGCTTGCACTTACTGCTTGTTTTGATTTCTCGTTCTAGCACTTACGAACAGGATCAAGGTGTCGTTTTTGATCGTTGCAATTAAAGGAAAACGAAGGCTTTTTGTTTGTTTGCTTGTAATTATAATACAAAACATATATTAGTGGCTAAAAATACTTGGTTTTTTTTTCCCCTTTTCATTCTATTTATTGTGTTGATAGGATTTTATCTGTTAATGTTACTGTTTGATTTATAAAACCATAGTGTACTTCCTGAGCAATAAGAGATACATGTTTTAAACTATTTGTTCCTATGTTGTTTTTTCTTCTAGCATGACTCAGTCCCGATCCAAAGAGAGAAGTGACATTTTATGCAGCATTACTCCAATAATGAAATATTTTTCATCCATCATGCCCCCGTCTCCACTAACAGATATTATCCTTAAAATAGAATTAGTTTGTTTGAACTGCATATTCAGAACTTTTGTTTTTATTGTTTGAATGTATAATTCTCTGAAAACACTACAAGAAATGTCCAAGGAAGATAAGACAGGGGTGTTTTGACACATTGTTTTTCCCAAACAAGGAATTCAGTCACAGAGATCATATCATAGCAACCCAAATAATAATATTTAGTAAATTTTTCATTAGTTAATAATGCTACTCAAATGAAGATGTGAATGGCTTTGGAGATGGGATTCTTTCTCTTTTTATGTATTTACATGAATGCAAGCTTGAATATTTTAGTTTATTCCATAGATAAGTGTACTACTGGTTGGAATTGTAAAATTGTGCATGGAAGTACAGCATAAAAATCATTTTCCTGCATAAGCTTGGGGAGGGAGTGTACTCAAAGTTAATATAGATGCTGCTATCAAATTTTATTAATAGAAAGAATAGTAATGTAGCCTTCCACTGATTTTTATGTTAATCGTGACACTTTCATATTTTGAAAGAATATAAACTGTATATATAGCATGCTCATGAGAGTCTGTATAGCATCATAGTATATAGCAGCATCTTCTTTTTCTTTTCTTTTCTTTTTCTTTTCTAATATTTCAGTTGATCTTGATGTCTGCTGTTTTTTTAGATTTTGCTTCAACAATTCGTTACCATCATAATTATTCTCCTCCATCCCTTACTCCTCCTCTTCACTTGTAATCGAATGAGGTTCAATGCCAAAGTTCTGGCTTCACTGGCTAGAAGGCCATCAGCTTGTTTTGATAAGGAAGGAAAATTGAAGACTTGCAGAGTGGTTGGGGATGGAACTTTAATAGGTAAAAATAGCTTGTATAAAAAAAATGAATAGGTAAAAGTACCTTGTATGAGAAATTATCATTTATTGATACACGTGTTTGGCTGCTGCTGTCAGCTTTCAGTTTCACTAATCACACATTTATCAGTGGGTTTTTTGGTTTTCTCCAGTGCTAATGCTTGAGTGATACTGTATACCTTTTAAAATGAAAATGAGGGTTTGAAGGGACCTCAGGAGGTCATCTAATCCAACCCCGTGCTCAATGGTGGAACATCCCTGACTATATCATCCCAGCCAAAGCTTTGCCTGCTTGGGTCTTAAAAACCTGCAAGGATGGAGATTCCACAACCTCTCTGGGTAGCCTGTTCCAGTGATTTCACTATCCCCCCCCACCCTGAGTTGTTTCCTGATATTTAACCTAAACTTCCCTTGCTGCAACTTGAGACCATTGCTTCTTGTTCTGTTATCCACCACCACTGAGAACAGTCTAGCTCAAGGGTGGTCAAAATCCAGCCTGCAGGCCAGATCTAGTCCACCAACAGATTTAATCCAGCCTGCAAGTGGATAGCCACCAACTCAGTGGATCTGGCCTGCGGGCGGCCAGTGGCTCCAGCTGCTGCAGGGTACTGGGCAGGTGTGCGGGACTGCTTTGGCTTAGCAGCTTCAGACACCAGCTGAGGACCTGGGCAGGGCTTCCCCCACAGTGGGTGGGCAGCAGTGTCAGCTGTGGATGCAGTGGGCAGATTCAGGAGCCTGGATGCAGAACCTGCCAGAGGTGTCTGCAGCTAATCCACCACTCTCCCAGTGTGGTGGAAGCTCCTGCCCAGAGCCCTGACCCAGCTGCCTGCCAGAGGCATCAACTGTGGACCCAGGCAGGAGCTGCTGTGGGTGGATGGCAGCTTCTCTCTTCTTGTCTCTCTCCCCCTCCCTCCAAAACTGGCTGAAACTGATGCAGCTGCCCACCCAGCCTGGGTCCATAGCTCGGCCTTGAGGCTCTTAGTGAACTACAGCTTCAGTTGGGTTCTGGAGGGAGGGGAGGAGGGGAAGACAGAGAGAGAGAGAGACAGACAGAGGAATAGAGGGACAGAGACATGGATAGGGAGGGAGAGATGAACAGAGGGAGAGACAGAGGAGGAGGATGAGGGAGAGACAGTGAGAGGGGGAAAAGATGAATGTGACCCTTGACATTGCCCCAAAACTCATTAAGTGGCCCTCCAGCTGAAATAATTGCCCACCCCTTGTCTAGCTCTGTCTTCTTTGGAACCACCAATCAGATAATTGAAGACTGTTATTGAATCCCGCCAGTCTTCTCTCCTCCAGACTGCATAAACCCAGTTCCCTCGGCCTCTCCTCAGAAGTCATGTGCCCCACCTCCCTAACCATTTTTGTTGCCCTCCATTGGACTCTCCAATTTGTCCACATCCTTTCTGTAGTGGGGGGGCGGGGCAAAACTGAACACAGTACTTCAGATGTGGCTTCACCAATGCTGAATAGAAGGGAATAATCACTTTACTCAATCTGCGGGCAACACTCTTACTAATGCAGCCCAGTATGCCATTAGCATTCTTGGCAACAACAACGACACGCTGTTGGTTCATATTCAGCTTCTTGTCCACTGTAACTCCCAGGTCCTTTTCTGCAGAGCTGCTGCCCAGCCAGTCAGCCCCCAGCATGTACTGGTACATGGGATTGTCCAATCCTAAATGCAGGACTTTGCACTTGTCCTTGTTGAACCTCATGAGATTTGTTTTGGTCCAGTCCTCCAATTAGTCTTGCCATTTGTCCAATGACTTCTTTCAACTACATTTTCAGTAGCTAAGTTAACTTACCTAGCTGCTCTTATAAAGCATGCCATTATGGTGGATGGGTGTGTGCACGTGTGATATAACAATTGTTGAGGCTTGCCCAAGAAATGATTTTTCTGGGGAAAATACTGATCTGCATTGTAATGACTTTTAGCTGCCAGTCATGATCAGGAACCTTCTAGAATTCCAGTTTCACAAAAAAGTTAAAGTGTTTCCTGTTTCAGCAAACTTTTGTAGCCCAGTGTCCTCCCACCCTCTCCCATACAGGTTTCTGTTGCCTTGTATGGTAATGTGTTTAATATATCTCAATTTCCAGTAAGCTTGAATAAATGTCTGTTCCCTAGGCTGTTGTTAAAAAATCACTCCTGTTTAGCTGTAAAATCATTCCTAATGTAATAATTCCCACAATAGAGAATATGCTTTTTTTTTTCCCCACTTGCCCTATAAGGGGTGTGTGTGTGTGTGTGTGTGTGTGTGTGTGTGTGGACAAGAGGTGCAGATATTCACCAACCACAGGAACAAGCCTGATCTCTTAGCTGATAAGCTAAGACTGAGCGAGGCTCCCCCTGCAGACAGCGCACTAGTGAAAAATACAGAAACCAAACTTTGCTGTGGTCTCTGGATTCTGCTCATAGGTACCATTTCTTGTACCAGACTGTGGATAGTAAATGCTTGTTGCGTCTGAAGGCAGCCTGTCTCTCCAAGCCTGACATTTCATTAGATTTTTCTATTCCAATGAATTAATTCAGTGCTGCTGCTGCTGCAAAGACCTTTTTCCAGGATCAGCAGTAACATTCAACTGGTTTGATTCTTTTCTTCTCTGTTTTACTTCAGGCTAGAGGTAGAACTCAAACTGATAAAATGCTTGTCCAATGCTTTAGAGTGAAATATAACACTAGAGGTGTTGTCTGCAGACTTCAAGTAACAATACTGCATTACTTCATTTTGTTCCATTCCACGTTGTATTGCACTTTGTACTTCAGGAGTATTATCCTATACTTACGGACTAAGAATCTAAGTTATTTAAAGAATGTGATATCATTATACCCATTGCTGACAAAGGCAAGCTTCTCACTTTCCAGTAGTCTGTAGCCAAAATTATTTTTGAAGCCTAGTTTAATTGACTTCAGTAAAATTATCAGGACAAAGAAAAATTCTTATTAGAACTTGTAAGCAGTCCACCTAATCAATAGCCTGTCTTCAGTGGCTACTTCCAAAAAGGTGCAAGGATCCCATAGAAAAATCCCATACAGTAACCTACCCAGAAGGCACAGGTTTTCTGAAATCAGCCTCTAATTTAGTGAGGGCTATTTCCTGAAACAGAAAGTTTTCTGTCCCTTCCAGACTTGTGGAGTTTTTTTTGTTTGTTTTTAGTTTGTTGTATCTACATAGCCTGTTTTTGTCAATAAAGATTTAATTGTAGGAAGGTAATCCAATATATCAGGCTGTATTTTGAAATACAGATGAGTTTAGTAACATGCATCTCTTTTGAATAAAGATTATTTTTGGAAAGTTAATCTCTGACATTTTTCCTCTCTTTAAAAGAGTTTGAGTATACAGAAATCATGCACTGTAACACTGTTCATTTTTCTGTCAAGGAATGGTAAAGTAGCAAAACTAGAAAGCTTCTATAAATATTTTAGTTCTCATTTGGTGTTTTCAGATAATTGTACATTCAGATGAGTTCAATTTGTCATAATCCAAGTAAAATAGTAAATATTATGTCTCAGTAAGATTTATCTGTTGAAATGATGGAACCAAAAGCTGTTCCATGCTAAAGTACCAGTTTCTGCTCCCATGTGAGGAAAGGGAGAGAAGCAAAGAAAGCATAGTTGAATATATGCTGCAGTCACCAATTCTCTCAGCTGCAGGGTAGAAGAAACCTTCTGGGATGTTACCTGGCATTTAACAGCATGTTGTACATAGGCAGCTGCTGAATGAAGTCTTTTTTTTAAGATTTCTTCTTTGACCTTTATTACTAATGCATCTTCTTTAAGAAGCATTTAATGTGCAAAGACAAAAGGTTGTTTTTATTAATCTCTCACTTCTTTGCATACAGAACCGAGAGAGAGATGGTGCCGTCTGAAAGGAAATCTGCTTTTTCTAATGAAAAATAAGACCAAGGTAATTCTTTTTTTTTTTTTTTTTTTAAACTGATTTTTTTTTCTCTTGCATTTTGGTATAATCTTCCTAATTTTAAGTAATTTTTTCTTTGTGGTAGTTACTGACATTTGTTTTACGGACAAAAATTACTCTATTTTTAGTGTGGTATATGTGGGGGAGGGGGGAGAATCTCATTTACTTTCATAATATAAGGTATTCTCCATCAACAGCGTTCGTTAGCTGACTTGCATGTGATTATATAGGGCCAGATTCTGCTTGTATTGCATACTCTGGAGTAACAATATTGACTTTACTGGTATAACTGAAGGCAGGATTTCACCCTGAAATGCAATGTTTGTACTTCTTAGAGTGCAATTTCAGACCCAATACTCAATGCCCCAATGTCACTGAACCTGATGTGAGATGGGGAGTTATTTTTTCTCTCTCCACATAAGCAGGTCCCTCTGATCTAAAGGGCAAATATATCCAGACCCCTTGAACTAGGGTCTGACCCTGCCAGATCATGAAGGTCTCCTGAGAGTCACCGAGTGTTCTCATGCCCATTGAATTTAATAGTAGTGAAAGGCAATTGGTATCAGGAAGAAAAAAGCGCTATATGTGGAATAGCTTGTTTTCTTGCTCTTTTTGTTTTATATTATGCCTATAGTTTATGTAGGTGGCTGAAAATGCAGAAGTGCATGAAATCCTAAAGAACTGAAGGAAATGTACGAAATTTGAAATCACCTGTCATTAACTGCAAGCATTTCATAGCCAGTTCCTGGAGTATTTTTGTATTGCATGGGCCAGTGGTTGAATGGAAATGATAGCGATGTTTGACAGATTTTATATTCTGTTTAGAAAGATTTTCAGCATGGCACAATGGATTTTTTTTAAATATAGTTCTAAATGTTCTTATACAATGAACAACAGTTCTTGCAAACATACACATGGAAGTTTTATGTGTATGCAGACAAGGTGATGTAGCATGGCATAAAGGTTTTATTGGCAAGAGTTTTTGGTTTGGTTACATTACTTCTGGACAGTAAAATGACAAGTAGATTTTATATAGGTTATATCATATTCATGCCAAGTACATGCCTCTCTCTCATACCTTCACCTATTATATACAGGCAGCATAATTTATAGAAACTGTTTCTAGTATGAGAGCTTAAAACTATCCTGTGACTTCCCCCTTTGCTTTTCAGTCTTCTATGGTCTTAACTTCTTCATGATGCTTGAATGCTAGCTAGGAGAACACTTTGTGGAAAGTGGAGACAGGTCCTTTCTCATTTCCAAAGCTTGGTTTTACAGTGACTCCTGGCATCTACAGAAGTAACAGCGAGGAGAGTCCTGTTCAAACTGTACAGCCCTGGGATGGAGTATGTTCAGTAAAAATGCAACCCTTAGAGAACTTAAGCATACAGCTCTAATAATCTTCCACTTGTCATATCCATTGTGGGGTTCTGCACAATTCAAGACTAAGTCTGAGTTCCCTTAATGGCTCTATTTGGAAGTAAATATAAAACTGTTGCTGAATCAAAATTTGCAGATAACACAGAGTTGTAGAAGGGTAGATAATGCAAGTGTTATGTATTGATCTGGACTGCTTGGTAAGTCAGTTCAGGCCAAACATGTTTTTAATGTAGCTAGTTAAAAAGGAATAAAGAATTTCTGTTGTACCTACAGAATGACTGTCTTGGACAACAGTGACTTTGGAAGAGGGTTTAGGGATCACAATGGAAAAGCAATCCATTGATAGCTCTTGGTGCAGTATTATGACACAAAAAGTCGAGTGCCATCCTTGAATGTGTAACAGGCAAACAGTGAGTAGGAACAACTGACAAGATAGGTAAAAGTACTGCTCTATCTTGTTAGGAAGACCGCAATTAAAATAAGGCCTATCATTCTGGTATTCCCATTTTAAAAGGGCATTGAAAAGCTGGAAAGGCTGCAGAAAAGAGCCACAAAAATGATGCAAGAGCTAGAAAAATGCCTTATATGGAGAGACTTAAAGAGCCCAATCTGTTGATCTGATCAAAAAGAAGATTGTGTGGAGACTTGATTAGTGTCTGAGTACATTCATGGGGATGATATAGTTGGTATTAATGAGCTCTGTAATCTAATGGTGAAAAGGATAAGAAACAAAGGCTGGAAGGTGGAGCTAGATGAATTCCGATTAGAAATAAGATACAAATTTTGAGAATTCTGGGAAATGTTTGAATGATTTCTTCTACAGTTTTTTTGTTTGTTTTGTTTTGTTTTGTTTTTTTTCTAAGTCAACATGAGACAGACACATGGTATGGAAAATTTTAGCCTGAATGGATGAAGTTTAGGAATGTAACAAAAACCTGGAAACTGGGTTTTAAAATAGGCATGGCTGCTAGTTTTCTCTTTAATTCTGACTTAGAAAATGTCATTAGCCTAGGAAATGTAAAGTAGAGAGCTGGGGCTAAAAAGCTGATAAAAACACCCACCCTCTGTGTTGTCTTAATCAGACTTATCTGCTGTAGTTTTCTACGCAGGATGGGAACTTTGATCCTTAGGAGGCTCATTTGAATGAGACTCCTGCTGGTGAATGGATTACAGTAAGCAGTGTGGTGGGTAAAAGAAAGAAAAAAGTAGACTTGTTAGCTATTTATCTGTTTCCTGTAGCAGTACACCTGTTACATAGGGATTCATATGTAATAACGTGATGGATGGACAGTGCGGCCTTCAGCCTCATTCAAATATTTTATTATCAAATTACATGCTTCCTGGAAAAAGGCTCTATTGTGGAAGTACTCAAAGAATTTGACTGTGAGACTGCAAGCTATGCTGGTGGGATTTTGAAAAGTGGAAAAGTGAATTTAGAGGTAAAAGACCTGTAGAAAGTCAGTGGAACCTATACTGTTCTCACCTAGTCACTCAATTCCATCATCATGTCCCATACACTAGGTACAGACATTCAAAAAGCTTGAGGCAGAATTGATCTAAGTGATGTGTTTTTCTGTAAGTGGCATAGTTGAGATGGGTACCAAAGAGAACATGCCCTTTGTTTGGGAGGGGAGGGGAAAGGATCTTAGATCGGGTTCTGTGATTTTTTTTTTTTTTTTAAACTAACTAGTCTGTGTGCTGAACTTCTGTTCTGCTAAGGGTATAGACTGGTTTCCAGTCATTTAAAATGTAAAAATGTAATGTATATACATGAAATAATGTCTTACACCTTGGAAGCCTCTGACTCTGTTCACTTTGACAGACAGTCAACAAGCCGAAGCTGGAATCAATTCAGTCTTCACAGGTTTCTCTGAGTTGCATAGATTGGACTGATAATGAACTGAACTTGCATTCACTTTGCAGTTGGGAAAGGCAGTCAGATAACTGCACTGGCCCAGGCCAGAAGGCGGGGACACTAGAGCATGCCTCCCAGCCTGATGACCATTGCTAAGCCCAGCCAAGCAGGGGCCATCTCTGATTAGCTGCCCAGCACATACACCTAACCTCCTGCTGTCCCCACACCCTGCAGGGGAGGGAAGAAAAGGACCTCCCCCCCAATCAAGGTGTCAGCCCCCAAGCTGGCTGGGATCTCCCAAGCTCTGGTCTTCCCTGCCATGGGAGCAGAGGGGAATTTACTTTTCTCCCTCCCATGTGGTCAGGCTGCAGCTTGGCCTTGACCCTGCAGTCCTCCAGGTCAGTGTTGGCCCTTGCAGCCAGGCATCTGCCCACGTGCTGGGGTGGGGGGGGGGTACCCCATGCCTCAGTTCAATTCTCCTGCCCCAAACCAGGGTCCCCTGAGCCCTGGTCTGCTGGAGCATGTGGGGGAAGGAGTCAGGAGGAGTAATCTTTCTCTCCTCTCACTGCAGGGCAGACCAGGGTTTGGTGAGTGTTACAGATGCAGGCAGGACCCATCTAGGTCTATCTTCAACCCAGTTTGGCCATTTTAAACTGGTCTGCATGCACTGAACTTTTGTTCTTTTACAGGTTTAGACTGGTTTCTGATCACTTATACTGGTTTGTGTAATTACTATCCCTAGAACAAGGGAAACCTCTATTATTTGTAATGCCTACTTGTGTTAATAGGTATACGTGAGTAAGTGTCAGTTTCCTTGATTTAAGAATACAGCCTTGAATTAATGTTTGCAATCCATTTCTGTACATCATGTTAACTTTTTTTTAATCACAGATTTTGGAGCTGATTTCCTTTGCTTTTGGGTTGTTTTATCCCCTCTCCTTTTTATTTTCAATTCATTCCCTGTCCTTTTCTTCTAGATTACTGTGGTGCATCCTTTTCTATTTTCCACATTTTCTCTCAGAATAATTTTTGAGCAATTTTCATACTTGAAAGAAGTAAATGTGTTACTTTACTTTCAAATCCCTCTCTTTCCTCTTTGCCAAATTCATTTTTCTCACTTTTTCACACCTCTGGCCAAAAAATTGTCAATTATACATGTGTGAATCTGAGTTAATTCCATTGAACTAAAAACAAGTTGCCTAACTCATCTATGGTTTAGTTTCTTCACATTTACAATGTTAATACTGGTGCTTGGCCAGCTTGTTAAACCACTTTGTAATCGGATGAAAAAAGGCATCTACGTACAAAGTACACTTATGTTATTACTGTTTGGTAATGGTACCAAAAGACACCTTGTGCTATACTGTGCAAACATGTGTTTTGACATGTGTGCTTATTTTAAAATGAGTACTTAGACATTTATTTGAAAGTGGATTATTTGAAAGTGATCCATAGCGAATAATGCCTATTTTAAGAGCTGTTAGTGTCTATTGTGGAAATCTTCCTTAGTTTGCAATTTAATGATCCGTTGTCTCTTCGGTCAATTTGTACAAACATATGAAACCACTATACTTACATTACTTGGATTTTTCCAAGTTTTCTATGTGAAAACTTTGCATCTTGGAAACAGTGTTAACCATGTTTTACAACTTGTTTAATTAAAAAAAAATCTAATAAATAAAAGGAAAAAATAAGTTTAAAACAAAGCCATTTAAACAAAATATCTTCAGTTGGCAGTCACCTTGTATTTCAT